TGTCTGATGCTCGTTTCTCTTCTCTGTGCTCGTTTCTGTACTGTGTTCGCTGCTGTGGTGCCGGGGCCTCCTGCGCTGAGACCCAACGGCACAGCAACAGTCATGCCGAGGGGTGGTGCTTCTCAGAGAGGTGCTGTGCGAGTAAGCATCCTCGCCACATCCCATGCCATGGCAGTACCGTAAGTCACTGGGGCTGGTCTACTGGGGGGGCCGATGCGTCTAGGTCGCCGTGCGGCAGGTCTTAGAACTGAATTTTGTTTCTTTTGAGTCAGTTTCCGCTGCTGCTCCTGACGCATTCTCCTCTCTGCTCGTTTCTGTGCTGTGTTTCGCTGCTGTGGTTCCAATGCCTCCTGCCCTGCACTGAGGCCCAAGGACGCAGCAACATTCTTGCCAAGGGATGGCGCTTCTTAGAGAGGTGCTGTGCGCTGTGCGGCAGTACGGTAAGTCGTTGGGCAGGTAGAGTCTATTGGGGGAGCAGAAGAGTCTAGTAGGTCGCCATGCGGCAAGTCTTAGACCTCAAGTGAATTGCTTTCTCGGTCCGTCTCCTCTGCTGCTTCTGACGCACCCTCCCTGTGCTTGCTCCTGTCTTGTGTGCGCTTGGCTGCTGCGAGGGTCAACACCTCCGGAGCGACGAGGTGTAGAGGGGCGCGAGCAGGCGTCATGTGGTGCAAATAGGCTCACGTGCTGGCTTGTGGACGCTAGGGGCTGGAGGCGGAGGGTGGGGGAGGGGCGGAGGGAGGTCGGGAGAAGGGCGGAAGGAGGATGGCGGAGGGGGAAACGGCACTGGCATGGAAGCTCAGCATCACTCATGGGTGCCCATGAGCACGTGTGGAATCATGTGGGGTCTCAGTTGCAACAGGTGGATTTATGTGGGGTCTCAGTTGCAACAGGTGAGTTCGTCCCTTTCCCATGTCTGCCCCTTGACACTCCCACCTGTTGCAATATCTATTTCAGTCGTGTTTGGTTGCAGGGAAGTACGTGGGCTTCGGCTGCATTGCCACTTCCATGTTCGCCCTTGCATATTTTGCTTCAGCCATTTCTCTTGGCTTGTCAGCCCCTCTGAATGTACTCCCCTTAGCTCCCCAGCTCTCCCCTTCTCTCCACTTCTCTCCCTTTTTCTCCTCATCTCCCCCTTTTCATGCAACAGGCGTGGTTGTAGCAACAGCATCAACGTGAAAGCATGGTTGTTTAAGGGGTTCAAGCTGAAATGGTAAATCCCATTCTTCTCCATCGCTTCTCTGGCTTTTCTTCCAGCTTCGCTCTCTCTTGCTGTTGTTCGTTTGCTGTCTCGCTGCTTGTTGTACTGAGTTGCAGTTTCTTCCCCTCTCCCCTTCTTCCCATCCCGCCTCTTGCCATTTCCCCTTCCTGCAGCTTGCTTTTCTGCAGCCGGAGTGAAGCAGCCAACGCAGCAAACGCAACAGTGCAAGGAAGAGCATGTGGGGTTTCAGGTGCAGCGGGTGAGTTCCATTCCTTCCCCGCGACTAGCCCTTAATACTCCCACCCGTTTCAACTTCCTTTTCTATCCACTTCAGCTGCGAAGAGAGTGTATGTGGGGTTTCAGCTGCGTTGGCACTTCTATTGCTGTCCTCCATTGTTTTAGTCGTACCATATGTTCCCTCAATTTTTTCCTTCTGCCGTCGCCCTTTGCTGGCTTAAGCTTCATACTCCCTTCGCTCCCTTCCTCCCCCCCCCATGACGCAACATGCATGGCGGTAGTAACAGCATCAACGAGCATGCAATAGTACTAGAGGGCAGGAGCGGAGGAGGTAAGGAGGCAGAAAGTGAGGGAGGGACGGAGGGAAGAAGAGGAGGAGGAAAGAAGTGAAGGATGGAAGGGGGAAGCGGGGATGGATACAAGGGAGGGTGCTGTGCGGGAGAGGATCGTCACCACATGGGTCGGAGCATGGCTCGCAGTGTCAGTACGGTAAGTGGCTGGGCAGGTCTATTTGGGGGGCAGAAGAGTCTAGGTCGCCGTGCGGCAAGTCTCAGAACCAATTTTTGTTGGTTATGAGTCTGTTTTCCCTGCTGCTTCTAACGCACTCTCCGCTGCGCTCGTTTCTGTGCTGTGTCCACTCTGCAGTGATGCCGGTGCCTCCTGCACTGAGACCCAAGGACGCAGCAACATGCTTGCCAAGGGATGGTGCTTTCTCGTATTGGAGGTGCTGTGCGAGTGAGGCTCCTCACCCCTTGCCTCGGAGCATGGCAGTACAGTAAGTCGTTGGGCGTCGGGTCTATTGGGGGGCAGAAGTGTCTAGGTCGCCGCGCGGCAAGTCTTAGGACTGATTTCTGTTTCTTTTGAGTCTGTTTCTTCTGCTGCCTCTGACGCACTCTCCTCTGTGCTCGTCTCTGTGCTGTGTTCGCTGCTGTGGTGTCGGTGCCTCCTGCACTGAGGCCCAAGGGCACAGCAACAGCCATGCTCCAGGTTCAAGCTCCAGGTCAAGGCCAGCGGCACAGCCAACACCAGGCCCTCTTTAGACAACCTCGGTGTGTGCCTCCTGCCGTGAGCTGCCGCAGAGGCCAGCAGCAGCCCCTGCCTCGGGCACTGGAAGCAGCTCGGAGCACAAGACTCAAACCGTCTCCAATGGTATTTCCGCAGATGGCCTTTCAGATACCCTTTAGTTGCCCCCTTGGATAACAGTTCAGGTGACCCATCAGGTAACAGTGTCAGGTACCCTCAGGTGCACGCTCACGTAACCCCTCAGGTATGGCTTGCGCCGATAGCATATCAATCTATGCTCCCTTCCCTTGTGCCTGTCATCACGCCCTCTTATTGCTGATTTCTTGGTGAGTAACACTCTGCTCGCTACAATGACCTACGTTGCACCCCCACCTTTCCCTCCTTTCTCCGTTCCCCTCTTCCCTCCGTTCCCTTCTTTCCCCGTTACTCTGATCCCACCCGTGTCTGTGCAGGTGGCGGCACGGGGGTGGGAGGAGCAAGGCAGCACAACGGGTTGAAGTGGAAGAGGTTCAAGCCAAAGTGGTAGACCCCCTTCTCCTCCATCGCTCCTCTGGCTTGCCTCTCTCTCCTGTTTTTCTTCTGCTGTCTCTCTGCTGCTGTACTAAATGCAGTGTCTCTCTGCAACCTGCTTCTCTGCACCCAGACTGAAGCAGCGATGGCAGCTGAAGCAGCAACGGCAGTGCAAGAGAGAGAATTATCTCAGCTGGGGCAAGTGAGTTCAAACCCTTCCCGATCGCTTGAGCTGAAGCAACAACGGGCAGTGCAAGACAGGGCATGTGTGTTTCAGATGGAGCAGATGAGATCCATACGTTCCCTATCGCTTCCCCTTGACACTTACCCCTCCTTCAACTTCCATTCTGTCCTCCGTGGTCGCAAAGGGGAGTGTGTGGGGTTTCTACTGCATTTCGACGTCCGTTCTTAACCTCTAGTTTTTTCTGATGGCATATCTTCCTTTAATTTTTTTTGTGTGTCAGTTCTCTTGGTTTGCTTGATCATCTGACAACGTGCCCCTCCCAACGTACTCCCCTCAGCTTCCTTTTTTTCCCCTTCTCCCCCTCCACACACAACAGGTTTGGTCGTAGCAACAGCGTGCATGCAGCACTACTAGGGGACAGGAGGTGAGGAGCTGAGGAGGAAAGGAGGGAATAGGAAGAATGGAAGGAGGTAAAAAGGGAAGCAGGGAAGGAGGGTAGGATGGAAAGAGGGATTGGGGAAGGATGGAAGGGAGGGTAAAAGGATTGCTTGGGAAAGACAGGGTGAGTGTTTTTTCCTCTCGCTCGATTCAGTGCGATCCTTTTTGCAGGTTAAGCTTTGTTTCCCGTTTACTCCTTACCACCCGTTGTTCGCCCATCTCTGCGCCTCTCTGCTCCTTCGTGCTCCTCTCTGCTCTTTTACCCCATATTCATGCCGCTCCTTGCTTTCAGCTCCATTGGTCGCTTACATCTCTTGCCCCTCGCTTTCTCCCTTGCTACACTGTTTGTTCCCCTTATTTAATCCCCCCCTTGTGGTGTTCGTCCTCTCCCACTACTGCCCCATCCTCCTTTCGTCCCCTTCTTCCCTTCATAGGTCATCAAGGGGCAACAGCGTCAGCAATAGCAGCAGTAGAAGTTGTCTCAAGGGGTACATAACTAGTGCAAGGCCTTGTAAATTATATACCGGTAGAAAGAATGCTGCAGTATGGTAAGTTATTGTAAGGTACTGCGAGGTATAGTGATAAAGTACACTGAGGTACGGTCGGTGAGGTATGGTAAGGTACACCCACCACACAACCAATCCTCGGCAAAAGAACCACCTACGTAAAAAGGAAAGCAGACTTGCCTATTCGAATACAGGTACACATCATACTATGCCTAATCAGGGAGGGACCCACCAGGCAAGGGATGTGTATAGGGACATCCAGAGAAAAAGCTGCAGCCAGACAGAGAAACAGCGCCCGCCCTCCCCACCAAATTGACAATCCTACTGCAGCAGAACCAACCAAACCAATGGAGAGATTATAGCTGCAGGGTCCCATATTTTAGACACGCTGATCTATCAGTGTAGCTGCTACGTTTTGTCGCCTTTTTAGAGACTTGCTGGAAAGAACAGGCTGAATTTTCAGCATCACCTACCGTAATTTTCCAGGCTGCTATTATACTTCGACCGTAATTTTGCTCTCCGTGGTGCTTACGCATAAAAGGCTTGAAATTCAGACTCTTACATAAATAAACTCTAAACAGTCCAGGGGAGCATAGACAGAGGTGGCCTTAACACAAATAATGGATAGTAGGAACTGGTATTTTGCTAATAGTACCTTGGGGGGTTTAATTGTTCTGCTAAACCATTTACAGAGGCGGGCTTAAGATTATTGGAACACCAAACCTAGAATTTGCTTATTTCTTGCCAGTACAAGAGCAGGGGTTCTGTACTGCCTAAGTACAACTGGCCCACAAAAAGACGCCATCAGGGCAATAACATATCTTAAGGACCCACCATGTGTGCAACACAGACGTTGCTTAGCACCAGCCAAATGTACCGTAGTGTTCAAAACGAGAGCAACACATCAGGCCTTCTCTGCAATTCTGCTGAGATGCTCAAGCACAAGCGATGTGCCCTTGGCGAATGACACATCCTCATATACGAGTCCGTGCTTCTCGCACAGCTCCTTCACTGCTTTGCACGTCTTGCCCAGGTGGTGTCGGGGCATGGTGGGGAACAGGTGGTGCTCCAGCTGCCTGTTCAGTCCGCCTGTGAACCAGTCGTTGAAGAGGCCGCCATTCACATCGCGTGTGGTCACAATCTGAAGGGAGTTCAGAGAAGGCATTGGTAGGTGGAGTTAAGTGTTATCCTGTTTTGATATGTAACCAGAAATGGTTCTTTCCAGTGGAACTGTTCCCAGGCCTACATAGCCTGTTACCCTTGCCCATTTCCTCGTATAGCATCCCAGAACCGCGAATCCAGCGCAACGAACCTGGGCGGTGTAGAAGTCTTTGCCCTCGTTGTAGATCTCCATGGCGTTGTGGCTCTGCACGAACACCACCGCCAGGAACAGCCCGCCGCAGATCTGCCCCGTCAGCATCCACATGAGGCCCGTCCAGAACGGCAGGCAGCCGAAGCCGAAGCCCAGCACCCACGCGTAGTGCAGCACCATGAACAGCCGCTCCCAGAAGCGCTCCTTCTCAGGCACCTCGTCCGAGAAGCAGTAAGTCAGGCTCGCGTACGACCTGCATGGCAGGGCGACGGGGGACATTTTGAGGATGCTCAGCGTCAAACTGGTTCCAGGGGCCAAGCTCAAGGACATGGCAGATAATGCGACGTGCTGCAAGACAGTGTGGCATGCGGCTCTGCGTGGTAATGCGTGGTGAAGATCCGCGTACCAGGCGAAACGGGCGAAGGAGAGGATGGGGAAGAAGAGCGGGCTCTGGTAGCGCAGCAGCGAGCGCACGGTCTTGCTCTTGACGGTCGCGAGAATGTCCTCGCTCCACGCCAGGTACGGCAGCGTGTCGATATCGGGGTCGATTGGGCGGTACTCCTTATCGCACTCGTTGGGCACGGCGTGGTGCGTGTTGTGCTTGTTCTTCCACCAGTTGGTGCTGAAGCCCATGGCCAGGTTGCCGTGAATATACCCACCAATGAACGTGTTCCAGAAACGCGATTGAAACACCTGCACGCGATTCAAATGATATACGTCAATCGCTGCACTCGTTCGACGTGGAAGACATTCAGTGATGCAGCGTTGAGTGGGTGCTACGTGCGCGGTGTGCGTCTCAGTTAGCGGTTTCAGGACGACTATCTGCTTCGATAACCAGCGAAGACAACAGCATCAGTGGGAGAGGTGCGCGTGGCGCTGACCTGGTGGTGAAGGAAGTCGTGCGAGAGCCAGCCGACTTGTTGCCAGTAGAGCCCGAGAAGCATGCCGGAGAAGAGCACCCAGCGCGGGTCGGAGGTCCACATGATGATGGCGATGCTGGCGGCGACAATGGCGAACGTCGACAGCACCTTGAACAGGTAATACGCAGGGTTGCTCTTGAAGTACCCCTTCGCCTCGAACGACGACCGCAGATCGCGGAAGTCCTTCAGCAGATCGCCCGTCGGCTCGACCTCGCTTTCCTGTAGCGGACGAAGGGGCGAGCAATCGAGAGGCCTTCGTGATTAGAGATACGCCATATGGCTTCCAAATCGTCATAAGCCTGATGGGAACAGGCTAGTAGTACTAGATTGTCCTTTACTGTGCAGATTTTGCATGACAGGTAGAACTTCGGTTTCACGAGACTACGAGGCCACTTAGGTGGTTATTGCTGGACGACTATGGTTCATTCGATGAACTTCGTCGCTTGAATCGCAATCCAATCAGGGGGTACATCGCTTCTATCGTAAACAAGTGAGCTAGTACCTTGAGCTCGCCGATTTGCAGCGTGGCGAGGAACGCTTTGGTGGAGGGCTTGTGGAAGGCGGCGAACACGTCAGTGGCGTTGCGACCCGCGAGCGAGTAGATCACGCGCCCGCCTGGATGCCGGTCGGCGAAGTCGCTCACATCGTACACCTGCACGATCCACCGACACGCGAGATGAATCATGCACAGATCAGACAGGATGTTGAACGAATCGGGGCCAAGCAAGAACCGGGACGAGGAGGATCGGAACTAGACGAAAAACAAACACAGTTGCGGATTCGAGTAGGACCTTGTTTTGGACGACCACCCATGCGTCCCCTGGGCGGTTGTGCTTGAACACCTCGTCCATGGTGAACTGCTTCGCCGCATTGCCGTTGGATCCGGCGACGGATCGCTTCGTAAGCCCGCCTGCATTACTGGCGACGGTCTCCACGGCTGCGACACGAGCCTTGGTGACCTCGCCCTCGCAACCACCACGACCCTGAACAGACACAGGCAGGACGGCGTCACGTCAGCTCAATGGCAGACTGCACACATCTAAACACGCTACACGGGACGATATAGTCTGCAATGATAAGACACGCACCATGGTAATTTAATGTGATCTCTGCACCTAGTAGGGTAACACGGGCAGAGTCCAGCAAGCGCAGTCCCACTTCAGAGCCACCGAAGGAACTAAGCACAAGAGGCTCAGTCTGGAATGGAGGAGAGAAAGAGAACGGAGGTTGAAGTAGAGGAGGCGAGGAGAGATGGGTGGTGGGGAGGGGAGCCCAGCAGTGGCAGAGGGGTCAGAATGGTGACCCAGTCTGCATCAGTGGATCACTTGGGGGCGTGGGACATCCTGACGAACAGTTTACGAGGTAACTACATTCACGACACTCGCAAGAAATATGTTGTGGTCTGTTGTCTGTTCAGCGACACAATGGTTGCCTTTCGCGAGGAATTCACGATCTCAGTGATCCGGCGGGAGACATGGTGGGGGCACCACGACCGAGGGGGTCACGTGGAGGTTGTTCTCGGGGCGTGCGACAGCAGCTCCTGTTTGGCGGAATCCACGCCTACGACGAGAATGAATTCGCGAGCGACTCTGGGAGGCTCGGATGCTGGCATGGAAATGATCGGGCTGCAAAGCTCGATGCAATCGAGGAGAAGAAGTTGCGAACGGTTCAGATCTAAACATGAGCATTTCGCAAATTAGAGGACGACAAGTTGTTACAAATCAAGGTCTGAAAAGTGGCGGGAGGGCAACAGCTACGATTCGCGCAGCTATGGTAGCAGTCCAGCACAGCACATGTTCCCTCCACCAAAAGTGATCACTGCCGGGAACCTCAACTCCAACTCCCCCATTCCGCCATGACCTTCACCTACAGATCCAACTCCTGCATTCCGCCGGCTCGGCGGAAGTGGACACCGCCAAAGTTATTCCTTTCGGAGCCTTGATTTGCGGTAAGCAGGCCAATGAACGAAGCGCATTCTGCGACCAAGCTGAGTCGAGGGCGACGCGAATCTTTCTCAGTGTTGCGCTAGAGATTCTATTGGAGGACACAACGAAATAAATTCATTGATGGGCCACATGACGTGGGCCACTGAGGCTTGACCACAGAGTGAGGTGGCGCAAGGGTGTCCGTGCATACTGCAGCGCTGGAAAATATCCTGGCCATATGGTCTTTCCGTTCTGCCCAGCAATTTTGTTGACCCTTTCAAGTTATTTTCGGAATCTTCAACGGGAATTTGCACACCCACCACCCACCTGCAATTCATCCCTATCTGAAAGACTCTATTTTCTTACACTCCTAAAATTGCTGGAAAGCAGGTTGTTGGGAAACGATATCATTATTGAAGGCCACAGATACCTAAGGTCTTTATGCAACATCAGCTATCAGAACTTCTACCTCTTCCCTAGCAGCAAGGTCCTTCACTTTGACTACCCCCCTTTCCCACTCTGTTGAACCCAGAATGATCATCCTTGACGCATTGACTCTCTCAGCCTGCTTGAACGCCCTGAGGAATCAAAGGACAGTGAGAAAAAAGTTACGGTACTGAGTGGAATGGGCAATGGACAAATTTTAACTAAGTGCCTGAACATATGCAGAGGGGACCCTTTGACTATTCTCATACCATTTCAGCCGCTTGTTCTCAAGCACCAGGTCCACCCGCCTGCCCTTCTGGCGTAGGCGAGCTGCCACGGATGCAGCAGCGCCGTTGAGTGATTGGTCGAGAGGAACAACAATGTCATCTACTGTCTGTTGGAGCGATGGTAAAAGGCCTCTTTGTTTCAAAAGCTGTGAAGGGGAAAGGGAAGAGATGGCAGAGGGAAGAGAATGGTGAAAAAAAGGAGGTGGGCAGAAGATGAAAATATACCAAGAGGTGGGCATGAGAAGCAGGGGTGCACATATGGTGGAGATAAGCCACCACAAACGTTAAACACAGTCTCGTAGACCTTGTCTTGATTTGATGTGCCTGATGCACCGTACCATAGTCCCCTTCACCAATGCAGCTGCAACCTGCCTCACCTCCACAATGACGGCGTCCCCAAAGCCAAAGCCGCAGGCGGGTGTGTCGGAGGCGGCCCCAAAGGTGGAGAGCAGGCGGTCGTACCGCCCCCCTCCACAGATGGCCCTCAGCTCCCCCGCCCTGTCAAACGCCTGCCCGTGCTCACAGAAGCGCATGGTGAAGGAAGGGGGGGAGGGAGAGGAGGAGGAAGTGGTGAGGGGAGGGAGGGGTGGGACAAAGATTAGAGATTGGCAGCATGAGAACACATGACTGCAAATGATCTACACGAGCGTAGTTGGTCAATGGAACAACGGTGTGGAATTGAACAACCCTCAACAGACGTTGCCTTAGACACATACTGAGGGACGTTACCTCAAAGACGGTGCCAGTGTAGTAAGCGAGGCCGCGCACAACAGAGGCGTCAAACTCGAGCCACTCGGCAAAGCCGTGTGCCTCGGCGAGGGAGAAGAGGCGCTCCAAGTCCGCCACCGCTGCACTGCCGCCCTCCTGCCCCCCACTCGCTGCCATGTGCTCTGCAGAGCATCACACAGCCGCACGGCAGGTGATAGAGGTAGGCAATTCGAAAAGGTACAACACAGATTAGCATGCGGAGGAAGGGGGAAACGTGGATGAAAAGCGGAGGTGGAAAAGGGGTTGGCACGACAATGCAGGAGATGAGGCAGGGAAAGTCTGAAGCTTCTTCCATGAATAACTGAACCGCTCGGAGTTGGACTGCTGGCGCACCTCTAAGCTGTGACAGGGAAGAGATGTTCATGGTGGCGAGGATGGCCCGTGCTGCCGCCTCCTCCACCCCCAGCTCCGCCAGCTCCTTCCCCACCGCCCCCTCCCCTATCTTGTCCCTCTGGTTGCAAGCACACACACATGCAAACGGGAGGAGGAATGTGGAATGCAGGCCGGGAGGTGAGGCGTGGCTAGAATCTCAATAGGGAGTTTGTTGCAGCACAGCAAAGGGTGCTACAAATGTGTGGAGGGAATGTACTCTGCACTGACCTTCTCCACCACCACACAGTTTTGAGTCGACTCTAGCTTTGAGTTGAGTTTTGAGTCGACTCTAGCTTTGAGTTGAGTTTTGAGTCGACTCTAGTTTTGCGTCGGTTTTGAGTCGACTCTAGCTTTGAGTTGAGTTTTGAGTCGACTCTAGCTTTGAGTTGAGTTTTGAGTCGACTCTAGCTTTGAGTTGAGTTTTGAGTCGACTCTAGCTTTGAGTTGAGTTTTGAGTCGACTCTAGTTTTGAGTCGAGTTTTGAGTCGACTCTAGCTTTGAGTTGAGTTTTGAGTCGACTCTAGCTTTGAGTTGAGTTTTGAGTCGACTCTAGTTTTGAGTCGAGTTTTGAGTCGACTCTAGCTTTGAGTTGAGTTTTGAGTCGACTCTAGCTTTGAGTTGAGTTTTGAGTCGACTCTAGTTTTGAGTCGAGTTTTGAGTCGACTCTAGCTTTGAGTTGAGTTTTGAGTCGACTCAAAGCAAAGGGAGTATACAGATGTGTGGAAGGAATGTAGTCTGCACTGACCTTGTCCACCACCACACACACTGCTGCAAACTTGTCAGATGGTACACCACTGCCCTCCACCACCTCTTGCAGCACCTGCCCAGGTTGGGATGAGCGAGGGGTGGGAGCAAGCAAAGGGCAGGAGTAATGTGGCACGCAGGTGAACCTTCTGCATCAAAGTGGTTTGAAACGGTGACAAGCGGTGGCCAGAGGGCAGGGCCCGCACTGCTCATGGGGGGATGCACTGCTCAGAAAAGTGTGCTTTGCCTTGCATGGTGAAGGAAAAGGGTGCAGAGCGGTACCTTGCGGTTGGAGACGCGGATGCCGACGTCCTTGGAGGAGAGCCCCACGCGTGTGAAGAACGCCACCACTGCCGCCAGCAGCTCCGCCTCCGCCTGGTCGGACACAGGGGTGAGGGGGGGAAAGATGGGGAGGGAGGGCAGGAGAGGGAGGGAGAGGGGAAGAAGGGGCATTTCCGTTGAGGATTCTCAAGAGCCCCACGCGTGTGAAGAACGCCACCACCGCTGCCAGCAACTCCGCCTCCACCTGCTCACTCACAGGGGGGGAGCGGGAGTGGGAGAGGTAGGGAGTACGGAACAAGAAGGTATTTCATTGGGAATCTCAAGAGCCCCACGCGCGTTAAGAACGCCAGCAGGGCTGCCAGCAGCTCTGCCCCCGCCTGATCGAGGAGGAAGGGTGAGAGGTGGGGTGTGAGGTAGGCGGTGGGAAGGGAGATGGGATGAAGTTGATATCTCGCCTGAGAATCCCAAAAGAGCAACACGTGAAACGAACGCCACCACTGCTGCCAGTAGCCCCGCCTCCGCCTGCGCCGCTGCGCGTGGAGAATGGAGACAGAAGCAGATACTTGCGAGGGAGATGTAAGGGGGATAAGGGTCTCTGGGGTTGGAAGGCAGATTCGGATGACAACGGCAGGGAATAGGGGGGGGATGGTGAAAATAAGGGGAGGAGGAGGGCGGGAAATAGGGACAAGGGGGAGGAAATGGGAGGAGAGCGGAAAGGGAGGAAGGCTGGTAATAAAGGGAGAAGAAAGCAGGGGCAGGCAGGTGATGGGAAAGCAGGGGCTGGCAAGGTGGAAATTGACATGAGAAGAAAAAATGGGATCTGAGGTGGGAATTGAGGTGGGTGGGACTTGAGGTGGGTGGGACTTGAGGTGGGTGGGACTTGAGGTGGGTGGGACTTGAGGTGGGACTCCAAGCTGGGACTGCAGCTCCAGTCCCGAAAGCTGGGACTGCAGCTCCAGTCCCGAAAGCTGGGACTGCAGCTCCAGTCCCGAAAGCGGGGACTGCAGCTCCAGTCCCAAAAGCGGGGACTGCAGCTCCACTCCCGAAAGCTGGGACTGCAGCTCCAGTCCCGAATGCTGGGACTGCAGCTCCGGTCCCGAAAGCTGGGACTGCAGCTCCAGTCCCGAACGCTGGGACTGCAGCTCCAGTCCCGAACGCTGGGACTGCAGCTCCAGTCCCGAAAGCTGGGACTGCAGCTCCAGTCTCGAAAGCTGGGACTGCAGCTCCAGTCCCGAACGCTGGGACTGCAGCTCCAGTCCCGAACGCTGGGACTGCAGCTCCAGTCCCGAACGCTGGGACTGCAGCTCCAGTCCCGAAAGCTGGGACTGCAGCTCCAGTCCCGAAGGCTGGGACTGCAGCTCATGTCCCGAACGCAGGGACTGCAGCTCCAGTCCCGAACGCTGGGGACTGCAGCTCCAGTCCCGAAAGCTGGGACTGCAGCTCCAGTCCCGAAAGCGGGGACTGCAGCTCCAGTCCCGAACGCTGGGACTGCAGCTACAGTCCCGAACGCTGGGACTGCAGTTCCCAAGCTGTAGCGTATGAGCTGGCGGTGCAGCGCATGAGCGGGCGGTGCAGCGTATGAGCGTGCGGTGCAGCGTATGAGAGGGCGGTGCAGCGTATGAGCGGGCGGTGCAGCGTATGAGCAGGCGGTGCAGCGTATGAGCGGGCGGCGCAGCGTATGAGCGGACGGCGCAGCGTATGAGCGGGCGGTGCAGCGTATGAGCGGGCGGTGCAGCGTATGAGGGGGCGATGCAGCGTATGTGCGTGCGGTGCAGCATATGTGCGTGAGGTGCAGTGTATGGGCATGCGGTGCAGTGTATTGGCGTGCGGTGCAGTGTATGGGCGTGCGGTGCACTGTATGGGCGTGCGGTGCACTGTATGGGCGTGCGATGCATTGTATGGTCATGCGGTGCAGTGTATGGGCGTGCGGTGCACTGTATGGGCGTGCGATGCAGTGTATGGTCATGCGGTGCAGTGTATGGGCGTGCGGTGCACTGTATGGGCGTGCGATGCAGTGTATGGTCATGCGGTGCAGTGTATGCCGCAGGTGTCTCCTCTGCCCAGCAGGTGCAGGGACTCGAGGCGGGACTTGAGGTGGGACTCAAGGTAGGAACTGTGGTGACAATGAAGTGCACTTGCACCAGAGTCAAGAGAGTGGTGGCACGATGAGTCACAATGCTTAGTGCAAGGCTGCCACATGTCAGTTCTCGGGCGAGGGGTGGCACTAGGGTGCAACCAGGTTTTCGGGTTCAGGGATATGGAGTGGGACTGACCTCCACTCCCGGCACTCCGAGGATGTCCATGTTCCACTGGTAGTGCTCCCTGCGCCTGCCACGTGTCATGCGCTCGTAGCGCCAGCACTGCCCAATCGCAAACCACTTCACCGGCAGCGGCAGCGACTTGCTGCTCCGAGGAACGGTCCGACGCGTGGGCACGTGGATGAGTGGGAGGAAAGGGGAGGAGGGATATGGTGGGGGTTGCAGAGCATGGAGGAAGAGAGAAATTGGCAGGGGTGGGGTGGCGTGGAGAGACAAGGAATGGGTGGGGAAACGGGAAGTGAGGCACTAAAAAGAGACCAGTCTGCTGCTGGTTCACCAAGCACACAGCATGACGGCGCCGTACCATACTCTCTTGCCACCTGCCATTTGAACCCTAGAGGCGTCTGGCGATGCCTGACGGTATCCCTTAGGGCGCTCCCCCTGCCTGATGGTGGTCTGTTCCGAGGGCGCTCACCCTTTCTGCAGCACGAGGCGGGCGAGCGAGGGAGTGAGCTCGGGGCGCAGAGCCATGCGGCGGCCGCCCTTGTCCTCGAAGTTGTACAGCTGTGCGCACGACATGCAGCACGACATGCAGCACGACATGCAGCACGACATGCAGCACGACATGCAGCACGACATGCAGCACAACATGCAGCACGACATGCAGCACGACATGCAGCACGACATGCAGCACGACATGCAGCACGACATGCAGCACAACATGCAGCACAACATGCAGCACGCGACGCACAAGCCACCAGTGGGAGGGAAACACGGGTCACAGCGGGGAGTGGGAACATGAGGGGTGGGGCCACAGGGGGGTTGGTGTGACAAGGGATGTGGGAATACAGATGGTTCCAGGGAACGAGGAGGGCACAGGAAAAGCACGGCACGTGCATTACCGCAATTCGCCTCGGCCACCCGGTGTTTCCCCGCTCATTCCCCATTCCTCCCCCACCCCTTTCCCGCTCCCTCCTCGCAACTTTCCCGCTCATTCCTTGCCCTTTTCCCCTAGGCGCCGACCTGCTGGGTGATCTCCTCGCCAGCCTTGCGCACGAAGAGCTCCTCTGATTCCAGCACGGGGTAGTCCACCTCCTCGAACCCGAACAGTTGTGATACCTGCACGCAGGGAGATTGTGTGATATGGGACCGCTTCAAGGAGAAGTGTTCCTACTCCTGCACATCTTTTGAGACGTCGGTGGTTTCTCCTGCCAAGGTAGTGCGCCTCCCCCAAGCCTCACACCTGCGACACCTGCGCACTCTCGCTCCCACACAGACGGCACCTGATAATTCTAGACTCAGAATAAAAGCTTCATATTGGCCAATCCCCCTAATGGCTCCTCCCACTGGAGGTAAGCCGCATTCTGCTCGCATAATGTCCATGTCAGGCCCGGGAGTGGGATGTGGGGTGCTGCAGGTTATGACGATTTAGCGGCCACGTCTAACCGCCGACCTGTCTGAAATGTCCGAAGAGCCAATTGCGCAGTCGCATGTCGTCAGGGGGGAAGTCTCGAGTGCCACGTGGCGGGCTCACGTCGATCAATTCCGCCTTGCCCCCCGCACCTCCCGCTTTCCCCGACGCCGGCGGACCCGCCGCCGACGGTCCCCGTGAAGAGGCTTTCTTATCCCCCTTCTCCGCTTTCTCCGTCTTCTCCGCCGTTTCCTCCGCAACTGCCGGCGCATTCGACGCCGAGGCGCGCACGGACAGGCTGGGAAGTGAAGCATGGCAGGGGCAGAAAGTCAAGGGTGAACCCTGGGATTGCCTATGAAAACTTCCTGGAAGGATCGCGTGAGTGCATGCTCGGCAGATGGCTGTCGAAATGCTGTGTAGGGACGAGAGGTTGCGTGACGGAGAAATTGAGGGATGGAGATGGGAGAGTGAGGACTGGCTATGATTATTGGCTTGGCGAACACAATGGACGATCGACGGCTGACGGCATCGCAGCACGCTCTGTGTGAGAGATGCCGTCGCCATTGCGACGAGCCGCTGCGACGCGATGCTGCGATGCTCCAAAGCGTTTGTCACAGTGGGAGGGCAGTAGCAGAAGGGTCCCTGCTGCACTACGTCGGGAATCCCGATGTCTGGAGAGTTGCGACACTACGGCAATCTCCAGAAGAAATGGAGGTGCAATGAAAAGCGGAAATGGCTGGGAGGAGTGGATGGAAGCGGGTGGAGAGGGGAACAAATGGAACTTACTTGGTATGTGGCTGGGAGGGATGCCACGAGGATCTCAACTCTCGATTCTCTCGAGGCGTGTAGAAATAAGCTCCATAACGCGGTAAGGGTGTACATTCCCAATATTTCATCCCTTACGGAACGCGGAAACTGTGCATACACATTGACAGGTAATGCCACCTTCCAATTTAATGCCTTGAATAAATGGTTTAGAATGGCACCCTAATTTGGGGGATCTCCTGTATCTCAACTGGATTCCTGGGTGACAATGCATGGAGCTAGGGCTGTTATGGGGACAACGAAGGTAAGCAGACAAAGGCAGGTAGATAGTACCTACCTACCATCACTTCAGAATACTTGCTTTTGACATGCAAGCAACTATCTGATCCCACAAGCATGCTCAGTTCACATTCACAGAACAGCATACACACATCAATACCCGTATGGACATGCAGAGCAACCATCACTGCCTTGCGAGTGCAACACAGGCGTTGCAAAGTTCTAAGCCCAGTGGGGGCATTCCACTGTCCACACCAATAGCAGCATATCAGGCCTTCTCTGCAATTCTGCTGAGATGCTCGAGCACCAGCGACGTGCCCTTGGCGAAGGACACCTTCTCATAGGCAAGCCCGTGCTTCTCGCACAGCTCCTTCACTGCCTTGCACGTCTTGCCCAGGTGGTGCCGTGGCATGGTGGGGAACAGGTGGTGCTCCAGCTGCTTGTTCAGCCCGCCCGTGAACCAGTCGTTGAACAGCCCGTCGCTCACATTACGCGTGGTCACAATCTGAAGGGTCGCAGAGAGGGGACAATGGTGGATGAAGTGGGAAGACCAACCATCACAGAGTCAAGTTGGCATGCGTTCACTTTATACCAAGCCTGACCACCACTCAATCATGGCACTGGCTGTATCTTTCAGGCAAAACTGCTCCCAGTGCTACTTGTTCTTTCACCTCTACCGGCTTCCTCATCACACATCCCAGGACAGCACATCCACGGCAGTGCAACGCAGCGCACCTGGGCGGTGTAGAAGTCTTTGCCCTCGTTGTAGATCTCCATGGCGTTGTGGCTCTGCACGAACACAAACGAAAGGAACAGCCCGCCGGAGATCTGCGCCGTCAGCATCCACGTGACGGCCGTCCAGAACGGCAGGTAGCCGAACCCGAACCCCAGCACCCACGCGTAGTGCAGCACCATGAACAGCCGCTCCCAGAAGCGCTCCTTCTCAGGCACCTCGTCCGAGAAGCAGTAAGTCAGGCTCCCGTACGTCCTGCATGGCAGGTATTGGAGAACATCACGAGGATTCTGTTGCCAAGCTAGTCCCCGAGGCCAAGCTCACGTAAAGAGATACCGGCAGACATTGCGACGTGCGTTTCTGCGAGGTAGTGCGTGGCGAAGGTCGCGCTTACCATGCGAAGCGGGCGACAAAGAGGGTGGGTAAGAAGAGATAGCTCTGGTAGCGCAGCAGCGAGCGAATGGTCTTGCTCTTGACGGTCGCGAGAATGTCCTCGCTCCACGACAGGTACGGCAGCGTGTCGATATCCGGGTCGATTGGGCGGTACTCCTTGTCGCACTCGTTGGGTATGGCATGGTGTGTGGCGTGTTTGTTCTTCCACCAATTCATGCTGAAGCCCTGGGCCAGGTTGCCGAGGATGTACCCGCCGATGCACGTGTTCAGGGACCGCGATTGAAACACCTGCACGCGATTGGAATGATCTACGTCAACTGTGAAAGATTATCGGTAATACAGCGCTGCCGCGTGGGTGCGGCGCGCGCGGCGTGCGTCTCAATAACGAGCGGAGACAACAGCATCAGTGAGACGACAGATTCGCGTGCGCGTGGCGCTGACCTGGTGGTGAAGGAAGTCGTGCGAGAGCCAGCCGACTTGTTGAAAAAAGAGGCCGAGAAGCACTGCGGAGACGAGCACCCAGCGCGGGTCGGAGGTCCACATGATGTTGGCGATGCTGGCGGCGACGATGGCGAACGTGGACAGCACCTTGAACAGGTAGTACGCCGGGCTGCACTTAAAGTACCCCTTCGCCTCGAACGACGCCCGCAGATCGCGGAAGTCCTTGAGCAGATCGCCCGTCGGCTCGACCTCGCTGTCCTGTAGCGGACGAAGCGGAAAGAAGTCGGGAGGCCAACATAAGATTAGAGATGTGTCGCATCGTCCCCGAAACGTGGTAGGCCGTGTGGGGAGAGGCTAGAAAGGTACGAGACTCTCTCTCCGTGCAGATTGCCAGACGCGGGCTGGGGCTTCGAGGCTAGAAAGGTACTACATTTTGCAACAAATGACGGAGCCACTGGCGCTACTAACATTCACTTTGGCAAACATTGCTGAAATACTCCGGTTCACCCGATACGTTGGTCGTATCTATCGCATCCAACCCGAGCGTACCTTGAGATCGCCGATGTACAGCGTGGAGAGGAACGCCGAGGTGGACGGCTTGTGGAAGACGGCGAACACGTCCGTGGCGTTGCGACCCGCCATCAAGTAGATCACGCGCCCGCCTGGATGCCGGTCCGCAAAGTCGCTCACATCGTATACCTGCACGATCCACCGACACAGGGTAAATGAAGTCCAACTCAGACAGTATGTTGGAAGGACATCAGGAACAAGACAGAACCGGTTCGAGCAAAACTAGTATTAAGAAGAAAGAGAGTTGCGGATTTCTATCGGACCTTGTTTTGGACGACCACCCATGCGTCCCCTGGGCGGTTGTGCTTGGACACCTCGTCCATGGTGAACTGCTTCGCCGCATTGCCGTTGGTTCCGGCGACGGATCGCTTCGTGAGCCCGCCGGCATTACTGGCGACGGTCTCCACAGCTGCGACACGAGCCTTGGTGACCTCGCCCTCGCAACCACCACGACCCTGAACAGACACAGGCAGGACGCCGTCACGTCAGCTCAATGGCAGAATGTGCACATATAAAAAGGCTGCGAGGAATGCGACTCTCTGAAGCGCTAAGACACGCACCATGCTGATTTGCTGTTAACAGCGAATAACTATCTCTGCACCCTGATTTCAGTACCACGTGCAGAGCACAGCGAGAAATTGCTCTTCACACAGATGGAGATACGCACAACAGCCTTGCGCTGAAATAAACATGGCATTTGACCCGGACGGGTCGGGTAAAGGCCGGGTCAGGTCAGGTGTAGTCAGTATCTCGACCCGGGTGGATGACAATGTAGGGTGATGAAGAGGAGTCGAGAGGAGAGTTGGGTGGAGGAGAGGGGAGTGAGTGAGCAGCCCAAGCAGTGGCAGAGGGGTCATCATGAGTGAGTGTATCCCTCGAACCGCGGAACAACTTTGCGAACAGCTATGGTGGTCGTTTACATAGTAACCCTTTATACGAGCTTCGCCAGATCCACGCTGAGGTTATTGTGCGTTCGACAACACACATGGTCGTTAGCGAGAGTTTCACCGATCGGGAGCGACACGCAATGGGGGGCGCCACGACCTAAGGGGGTCACGTGGAGGTTGTTCTCGAGGCGTGCGACAGCATTCCTAAAGGCGCCCTAAGAAGTGGCACCCTCTGAATTCGCGAATCGCGACCCTGGTGCGGAACGCCTCGGCTCACCCTGGTGCAGCGGGTGTGGAGGCTTACCGAGGTGACCGGGTATGGAGAACTACCAGGGTCACCAGGCAGTGGAGCTTATCGAGGTTACCACAGGTGTGGAGGCTCACCAGGATCACCAAGGTCAAGGGGCGTGCCGGGGTGTTCAGGCCGAAAAGGAAGCCAAGGACGCTACAGTGGCATAAAGTCTATAACGAAATTCCAAACGCGGAACCGTGCATTGCATACACAATCATTGATTCTAGTCCACCTTCCAATGCCTTGAATCACAATTTGGTTGACCATGGCACCCGGTAAAAGTAGCAAGGGTTTTTTTGGGTTTAGGGAATTTTCAGTGTGTTTTGACGTGAGCTTGATAAGATGTTGGCCTGATAAGGCGCCGTAGGAACCGTCCCTAATTCGGAAGCACTCTTATATGCACTGAACTGAATTCCTGGGTGACAATGCATGGAGGTATCTGGGTCTGTTATGGAGACATGAAGGTAAGCAAGATGGCAGGTAGATTTAGTGCCATCACTTCAGTATACTTGCATTTGACATGCAAGCAACTATATGATCCCAAAGCATGCTCAGCTCACATTCTCAGAGCGGCATACAGACATCGATGCATGTACGTAGGGACATGTGGCGCAACCATCACTGCTTAGCCTGAAGCTGGCACATATGGATGAAAACAACAAATATCTTTACAGCCGCAAATATCCTTTGGGCCCTTATGCAACACACGGAGACGGTAACAACAAAATACACAACGCTACGTTTACAACAGGACTGACTATTCACAACTAAATGAGAGTGACTTCACCACGATCCTTAACTGCTGTGGTTACGATTCTCGTTTACACAACCATAGCAATCTTAGGGCTGACGTCAGACGATGGCTGAGCGACAGCAACATTGTCCTCTGCTTCGGCGGGAACCACGGCAACTGTGTTGTCGTTATCAGCGGGAACAACGGCGACCGTGTTGTCGTTATCAGCGGGAGCAACGGCGACCGTGTTGTCGCTATCAGCGGGAGCAACGGCGACCGTGTTGTCGTTATCAGCGGGAGCAACGGCGACCGTGTTGTCGTTATCAGCGGGAACAACGGCGACCGTGTTGTCGTTATCAGCGGGAACAACGGCGACCGTGTTGTCGTTATCAGCGGGAACAACGGCGACCGTGTTGTCGTTATCAGCGGGAACAGCGGCGACCGTGTTGTCGTTATCAGCGGGAACAACGGCGACCGTGTTGTCGTTATCAGCGGGAATCACGGCGACCGTGTTGTCGTTGTCAGCGGGAACCACGGCGACCGTGTTGTCGTTGTCAGCGGGAACCACGGCGACCGTGTTGTCGTTATCAGCGGGAACCACGGCGACGGTATTATCGTTATCTTTGGCAACGATCGTAACGGAGTTATCGCTGTCTGCAGGAAGAGGGCGGCTTGCGTGACAGAACGCGGCAGCCGCGAGGAGGGCGAGAAGTACGAAAGCTGTCTTGCTCGCCATGGCGTCTAGTTGATGATCTGAACAAAAAGCCAAGGTTCCGTTCTACAATGTCTAAAATGCTGATAGCTTCTGTATCAGATGCTTGGTGTGGATGGTGAAGCAAAGTGGTGAGAAGAAATGAGGGTGGCGAGGCGAGGTGAAGGGAGGGAGGCGGCAAGAGGAATTCGCTGGGAGGGACATTTTGGTAGCAGCTCTGTGGCAGGTGCTCACCTGGCTCCTGATTCGATACCTGCGATCCGTCTCCGCCATCTCCGGTTATACAGATTTCGCGAAGAGGCTGGACACAGATAGCACCTGCTGAATTCTTTGTACAGAGGTGTCCCGCTAATGAGGATTCACAGCAAGAGCTTACAGTAAGATAAGTAGCAACCAATAACCACTCCAACAAATTCGCACCCACAATATTGATTTCAAAACAGGCGACTAGGAGAGTCGATAGAGACAACATGATCCTCTCCAGCGCCATCCTCCTCGTCACTATCATCACCCACCCTTTCATTGGGCGCGGACGGAATTGGGTGAAGTTGACGCGATGGGCCTCCCCTAATTTCTTTCCTTGGTGCATTCCCTAGCAACGCCGCTCCTGCTGAATCCGGTTGCTGTTCTAGAGGAATGGCACTGGACGAGGTTGGGGCTGAGGATGAAGGCTGACGTGGTGGGATAAAAGCACGGGGAACTTCAGGCTTTGCCACATCTCCTGCAGCACCACCGTCCCTCGACACCCCATCGCCTTTCACACCATCACCACCACCATCACTGCCCGGAGTTCGTGACCCAGCCGCTGCGTAAAGGGACGGCAAGATCGCAGACAGCGACGTGCTGTGCGCCCCGCCCCGTGCCAGCTGTCCCTGTGCTGCAGCGCTGACCAGGCCGCTGCGCATCGATTCGACAATGTTGGGATCGCTCGATTTGCGCGCGCTGGCGCCTGATGACGTGGCGGCGCGATTGACCGGCTGTCCAGCCTGGCGGCCGAAACCAGGCAGCAGGTGCGGCTGAGAGGCGGTGAAGAGAGCGGAGGCCGGGGAGGGGGCAGGGCTGACTCGCGCGGCGTGCAGGTTGTAGTGGCTGTGGTAGTGCGCGTGCACATGGCTGTAGTGCAGCTGCGCGTGGTGGTGCGGTGACGTGTCCGTCGGTCTGCGCGGTCTCAGGTTCAGCTGGGACAAGAGGGGGGGAGGGGTGGGAAAGGTGGTGAGGAGTGAGGAGAGAGCAGGAAAAACACACGTGCACAAGTGGAGTGTCTGTCTGCACGCTCACTTCCAGCTCTTTTGCACGCACCTTGCTGCCGAAGACGCTGAGCTCCATGGCTCGCTCCATGAGCTCCTGGTCCACCACAGAGCAGTCCCTCAGCGCTGAGGAGACTCAAAAAGCAGTGTCTGCCAGCACACCCTCTCGCCCTAGTCTCGCACGCACCTTGCTGCCGAACACACTGAGCTCCATGGCTCGCTCCATGAGCGCCTGGTCCACCACCGAGCGGTCCCTCAGCGCCTCCGCCAGCTCGCTCCCGCGCGGCATCGTCATCTCACTCGCCGCCTCCTCGCCCACCCACCCCAAGCCCTCCTCGCCCCGTGCTGCCCCACTGCTCCCGCCTGCGTGCTCCCCCGCCCCCACGGCGGCCAGCAGTGCTTCATTGAGGGTGCCCTCCTCGGCGCCCTCTGCTCCGAAGCGCAGCAGCCCGTCGTGGTCGTGCGTGGCCTGCGGGCGGTGCACGTGGAACGACCTGATTGGGCGAGGAGCAAGGGGCAGAAGGGGGCAGGGACGGTAGGAGTGGATGGTTGCATTGCGGATGAGGGAACAAGTGCATGCAGAGCAGGGAGAGCAGGAAGGTGCTGTGCGAGCAAGCAATGAGAAGATGGCACGTGATAGTCATGTGCATGTGTGCGCTCATTGCAAGTAAATGTGCAAGCCCCATGCATGCATCCACTGTCTGGCGCACGCACCTGGTGGGCGTGTTTTGGACAGACATGAGGTCGCGGGGCATGTGGATGACAAGCAGCTTGCAGAGGGAGAGAGCGGAGTAGCGCCCGTGCAGCATGGCAGCGCTGTCCCCATACACTGCCCGCTCAGGGGCTGCACACACACAGTGAGAGATAGCACACAAACAGTTATGAACTCATGACACGGGCAGCAGTTGATTGCTGCGCATTCAATTCTTTCAAACCAGTCAGTCAACATGCAATGGCACGGGCGGCAGTCACGGGGAGCGCACCTGCGGCTGGCAGTGGCTGTGCTGTGAGCAACGCGGGAGCATCAACAGCCACCAGCACGCCATCCTCCACTCGCCCATCCCTCCCACCTCCTTCACCCTCTCCCCGTTGCTCCCCGTTGCTCTTCCCTCCTCCTCCATCCCCATTCTCCCCACTGCCACCGCCCAGCAGCCTATCTCCCTCGCCTGGATCACCCCCTTGCACGACATCTGCATCTGAACCCTCGCTCCCTTTATCCTGCCCTGCGCCTGCACTTGCAGAACCAGCAGCAATGGAATCAGCAGCGGTACCATCAGCAGCGGCAGATGGGGCAGCAGCAGTGCTTGTAGGATCCATCACAGGGTGAGAAGCAGCAAGGGCGGATCCAGAGAAAGGAATGGCAGAGGCAGAGGCGGAGGCGTTGGCGAGGGAGAGGTCGACGGGGCGCACGGAGCCGAGCAGCAGCACCGCCACTTGCGAGGGCAGCAGGTCCAGGGTGTCTCCCGGGCGGCAGGTGAGGAGGTGCGCTGAGTCTGTGAGCAGCACGCGCAGCTCGTGCATTGAGAGCGCTCCGAACTCCTCTGGTTGCAGCACCCTCACCACCTCCAGACAGCTCTCCTGCACGCAGGGGAGAGGAACACAGGACAGGGGAAGCGTGAGTGCACAGGGAGGAAGGGGAGGGGAACCAGGGGAAAGGGGAGAAGAGCATGGAGAGAGAGATGTGCACCCCCGCAGCGTCGCATTCACCCCCTGCTTCTCACCTTCCACAGAAAGTCCTCAATGGCATCGCTGCTGCCTGCAGCATCCATGATGCGCTGTCTGTCAATGAAGAAGCAGTGCAGCACGCTGTCTGCTGCCACCGTGCTCATGTACGCACACCCTCTCAGCGTCTCATACAGCCCCACGGAGCTGCCGTGTGCAAACAGCGGCGGGATGAACCGGTGCCCGTGCGCCTCCGCCTCTGCCTCTGCCCGCGCTGACGTCCACTGCCAATGGTGGGTGGGGTGGGAGAGGGACAGAGAATAAGACGCATGGGAAGAAGGGTGTGAGAGAACGGAGAGAGGGGACATCTGAAAGACGAATCTGATCCTGCCACACTGAAGATGAAGGATGGATGGACGGACGGATGGACGGACGGATGCTGACCTTGGCGGTACCGGAGGCGATGAGCCAGACGCCCTGGGCGGGCTGCCCTTCGTGGAAGAGCGAGGCACCGGAGAGTTTGGTGGCCTCTTTGAGCGGCTGCAGCAGCGCCAGGCGGATGTCCGCCGGCAGCGCTCCAATGAGCGGCTGCCTCGCCAGCACCTCCCCCGCTGGCAGCATCGCCACAAACGGCGGGCTGCGCTGCAGCTTCTTCATGTCCGCCTGCACCGCCTTGTGCAGATGCATCACCTCGCGCTGGTCCAGCAGCCCCGCGTGCTCGAGATTCTCCACGTACCCGTGCAGGCCCTGCAGGATGGCGTGTGTGACCTGCTTGGTCTTGATGATGGTGAGGACCTCGGGGAAATTGAGGCGCACGTCCTCCATGAACCTCTTGGCCGGTGTCTCCTCCTCCTCGCTCTCCAGAATAACTGCTTCGCATATCGGGCTGTCCTCTGGTGGAATTAGGGGATGGAGAAAGGGAGAGGGAGGAAGAGTGGAGGTGAGGAGGCAGCGACAGAAGCGATGGCGTGTGTGACCTGCTTGGTCTTGATGATTGTGAGCACCTCGGGGAAGTTGAGGCGCACGTCCTCCATGAATTCCTTGGCTGGTGTCTCCTCCTCCTCGCTCTCCAGTATCACCGCCTCGCATATCGGGCTGTCCTCTGATGGACCAAGAGGGAAGCCGAGGGAGAGGTGAGGAAGTAAGGCACAAGTGATGGAGCAGGGAGGGACCGTGCACACGGATGATATCACCCACTGACCAACAATCCCACCCACCCACTCATTGATCAACAATCCCACTCACTGAGAAAGTCTCGCAGCTGTTGCCGGGCATGCCGGAGAGCACGGATGTAAGCAGCACTCATGGAAGCCGCCAGCTCGAGGCGGTCGACGGTGACCCAGTTGAGGGCGCGCTGTGGCAGCAGGCGGCGCAGGCGGCGGTGGAAGAGGCGCAGGTAGCGCGGCATGCGCACGTGCGGCTCCAGGGCTTTCCACAGCAGCAGGCGCCGCTGCTGCGTGGTGAGGTCGACGGCCTCCGCCACGGCCTGCATGAGCAGCATGGCGGCTGTTTGGTTGACGCGCCCCTCCTCCAGCATGCTCCAGTACGCCGCCTGCACGCCTGGGTAGGGTGGAGAACAGGGGCAGTGGGGGGCATTATGGAGAAGGGAAGGGAGGAGTGCAGAGAAGACTTGAGTGCGAGCAGGGGGGAGGAGGGAGAGGCCATGCTGGTGGACGTGAATCATAGGGGGCAGGCAGCCCAGCAAGTGAGATCCAGCAGGCAGTGTCTCGTGATGGAAAATAAAGCAACAAGGCAGGGATTGCGGAATAGGCATGCAGGGGCGCACCGTTGAGGAACCTGAGGCGGGTGTCATGCAGCTGCTGCGCGCGCAGCTGCTCGTGCGACTGGCTGTGATCATGCGGGTGGCTCTTCCTCACCCCCACCCCCGACCCTCCCCCCGAACCAGTCCCCGAGCCTCCGAATCGGCTCAGGAAGGCGCTGGCTGAGAGGGTTCCGTGGGAGGCGGGCTGCTTGAGGCAGGTGAGGTACTCGTTGACGGTGGCCCACTCCGCTGGCCCCAGCTCCTCATCGTCTCCTATCTCCTCGAATGTCTTCACTGCGTACTCACACAGCTCCTGGCGCGTGAAGTTCACCACCCGCTTCTGTTGCGGGGAGAGGGGAGGAGGAGGGGGAGCGGGAGGTGGGGCGGGAGAATGGGTAGCGATTGGGGCGGATGAGGCAATGGGGGATGGTGGAAGAACGGGAACAGAGGGTGACTGAGAGCGAGGCAGGAAGGCATTCCGGAACAGGAATAAAGGGATGGGATTGGGAGAGAGAGCGGGTGGAAAAGCGGAGCAAGCAAGGAATCGCAGAGGAGGTGGCGGAACATGCAGGATGGTCAAGCGGAGAAGAAAGCGAAATGACAGGGGAGGGAGATGTGGTTGGATGGGTACTGATGACGATTGGTGCATGTAAGGACTAGCAGGGAGGGAGGGAGGGAGGGAGCGGGGCACCTTGATGTCGGAGGTGGCGTTCATCTTGAGTGCGGCGAGCACGAACTGCGTGGTGCTGCCGTTCACTATGAGAGTCAGGAACACCACCCCGCCCGTCAGAAACATGAACTGCCGCATGGAAGTGGGCGGGCAGGTGGGCAGAGAGAGGTGGCATGAGCAGAATCGCATGTACTGTGAACCCTACATTCTAAACAACAATCATGCAGGAGAAAAGAGGTGCGCTGCACACAGCAAAATGCGGACGGGAAATATGGCTGGCTAGTTAGCCGTGGGTGCAAATGCTTTTTGAAGAGCAGAGGAAAGTAGATGGAGAGCAGAGCAGGAGAAGGCTCACCCTGGCTTCTGTTTCTTTAGTGATGTTTTCTGTTACCGGCTCGTGCTGTCACATGGCAGGAAGGGAAGAGGGGTGGAAACATCGTGGTCATTAATGGTGAGGCTGACGCCCCATGGCAGAAGCATACCACGGCATGAGCACGTTTCAGAAAGGGAGGATGGGAAGCCATTCGGCACAGCATGAACCTTGGGAAGGAGAGAAAGAGACAGCGACTGGGCTCAGCATGCAGCAGACAGGACATAGCAGAGAATCCCCACGCCTCCCATGTCCCGCACCCCCCTGCCCTGCCCCACACTCACACCCCCCATGTGCCCTGCCGCACACCCCCATGTGCGCTGCGTCTCACGCTGACGAGCAGGGCGAGCGTGAGGGCAACGGCACCGCGCAGGCCCGACCAGACGAGGATGATGGCCTCCTTCCACGTGAGCCCGTAGCCGCTGCTGGCCAGCCCGGGGTACAGCACTCCCACCACCACCACCCGTGACAGCTGCACGAACACGTAGAGCAGAATCATGTAGCCCCAGTCCGCGCCTGGCAGGTGCAGGGGGTAAGGGGAGAGAGGCACGGGGAGAGTTTTGAGTCGACTTACACGTCACGACCACCACCACCACCCGCGACAGCTGCACGAAGACGTAGAGCAGAATCATGTAGCCCCAGTCCGCGCGTGGTGGGTGCAGGGGGGAAGGGGAGAGAGGAAGGGCACGGTAGAGCATGCGAGGAGGCATATCAGGGGTAAAGGCGTAAGGCAGGAGGTTGCAAGGAGAGCAGAGTTGGGTGGCTGTGTTGAAACGAACTGAAGAGCTGGGCACCACGTTGCTACAGTCAGCAGCAGCAGCAGCAGCAGCAGCAGCAGCACGCAGAGGAAGGCAATATGAAAGTGAAGAAGAGAGGCTGGGGAAGCGAGGAGCGGAGCACCTTTGATGTAGTTGGCGTTCTGGAGTATGCTCTCCGATATCACCACTCCACTGCCACGAGAAGAAGACGAAGAAGAGAAGAAAGGATTGCAGTGCATGAGACAAGACACGCCTTAATCCCATGTCAACAGCATGAGACAAGACACGCCTTAATCCCATGTCAACAGCATGAGACAAGACACGCCTTAATCCCATGTCAACAGCATGAGACAAGACACGCCTTAATCCCATGTCAACAGCATGAGACACGACACGCCTTAATCCCATGTCAACAGCATAAGACAAGACACGCCTTAATCCCATGTCAACAGCATGAGACAAGACACGCCTTAATCCCATGTCAACAGCATGAGACAAGACACGCCTTAATCCCATGTCAACAGCATGAACTCGCACGGTGCCTATCCAAACCTTCATTGAAAGCCAGCAGCATGGGGTCGCTATTGGCGTGTGGTGGTACCTGAGCACAAAGATGAGCGTGTTGGCGATGTAGGACACCATCTCCCTGCATCGAGACATGACGCCATCACGCATCAAGTGGGAATGCGTGAGACATGTGTTCATGCCATTGTGGAAGAGAGATTTAGAGACACAGCCTTCCAGCACAGTACATGTGTGGGATGGCATGGAACGGAGAAGTGCTGAAGGGATCTCACCAGAAGTGGTGCATGCCCTGCTCGCTCTCCCCTGTGAATGCCGTCTTGGCGAATATGGCAAACATGCTGCCATAAGGATCAGGGGCGAGGGTGGTGAGAGGAGGGGAAGAGAAAGGGAGTAAGGAGAGGATTGAGTGAGATGTGAAGGAGTCCCTAAGACATAGACAGATGAGGTTTCAAAACTGTTTAACAAGTTACACTGCAATGGCATGTTCACATAAACGTTACATGCCCAGCTTCATGCAAGTCACACACAAAGCTTCATGCAAGTCACACACCAAGCGCCATGCATCTCATCTCACATGCCAAGCATCATGCATCTCACATGCCAAGCGTCATGAATCTCACAGGCCAAGCGTCATGCATCTCACATGCCAAGCGTCATGCATCTCACATGCCAAGCGTCATGCATCTCACATGCCAAGCGTCATGTCTGAAAGCACTCCCGATGTTTTGGCCACGTCGTTAGCCTGAATGGAGGGAGAGAGGGATGCAATGCAACGACACATGGGGAGGTGGCCTCAGACTCGAACACAGCACCATGAATGAAGGTCGATGAGTACATTCACTTGCACACATACATTTTATAAGTCCCATGCAGCGAGGAAACCCACTCAGGTAGTAAGGTGCATGAGGTCATACGCATGCATTGTGACATGACAACATGGCATGGCACACCATGCCCTTGACCCCATGGCATGGCATGCCTTTGACCCCATGGCATGGCATGCCCTTGACCCCATGGCACAGCATGCCTTTGACCCCATGGCATGGCATGCCCTTGACCCCATGTCACAGCATGCCTTTGACCCCATGGCATGGCATGCCCTTGACCCCATGGCATGGCACGTCATGCGTGTGACGTGGTGCACCATGAGCATGCGCACTTACGACAAAGAAGGCCATGTAGGAGGCGGTGAGGCTGATGGTGATCTCGATGACATGGTCGCTGAAGACGGTGCGCAGCCACAGCAGACTCACCACCCCGAACGCCATCCCCAACCCCACCCTGTGTTGTATGCACCAGCACCAGCGCCATGGCAGCACAGAGAGAAAGAGGGAAACGGGACAAGTCGCACACGTAAGACGTGTGAATAACGACGAGGGAGGGGAGGGCGATGTGTGACCAAAGGCTGGTACGTGTGAGAACATGGTGGCATGTGGCACTCACCCCCCAAGCGTGACCTTGAAGAGGAAGCCGATGACATCCCCGATGCCGTAGCTGTAGCCTAGAGTGAGGCGCAGGAACAGCTGGAACACCACTATGGCCGTGCTGCGCTCCCAGGCACGAGCAGGCAGGGCAGGGCAGGGCAGGGCAGGGGCAGGTCACAGTTGAACATGATAGGATACAGGAGTTGATGCAGGATGACGAATGTGAGCGTGCAGATGGTCTAAAAGCACGTCAACCTGCGCCCATAGCATTCTTCATTCACCAACTCATCATTCACCCAAACCCCTGAACCCTCACCCCTCACCCCTTATCCCCTCATCACCGCTCACCCGTCGTTCATGAGCGCCTCGCCGTCAATGATGGTGCTGAGCTTCTTGGAGGCGCCCAGGTCGCGCAGCAGAGCCACCACGGCCACGGGGTCCGTGGCGCTCAGCAGCCCGCCCAGCAGCATGGCCGTCGACCAGTTCCACCCGTACGGCAGCACGTACTGCCGCAACACAACCCCCCATGCACCACGTGGGGGGAGAGGAGAGGGGGGGAATGTGGAGGGTAGTACAGTCAGGCGGAGGATAGAGGAACTCTCTCAGCTGGGCCTTACAGCGGCTTGGAACTAGCGCAACAACAACGTCAATTGGTGCATGAGGAAACTCCTTCCCTCCTCGTCTTGCATGCTTCCTCTAATTCCTCTCACTGCGTGCTCACTTGCTCTAGCTGCGTGCATGCTTACTCGGCTGATGACTCCGAGGAAGCCAGTGGAGATGGCGACGCCCGGCACTGCCAGCAGGAACATCTGCACCAGACACCGCTGCTCTTGACGTAACAAGGGTTGCATGGGGAGCATGGGGAACGTGGGTATCACAGGGGAATACATTGGAGAGTGTGGATGAATGGGAACCAGCGGGGAGTAGGGGTGTGTGGGAGATAGGGTAAGGCACTCGTACGAGGACTATCATGGTGAGGCAACGCGAGGTACAAGGCTCGGTTGACTGACCTTGACTTGGTGGAACTCGAAGGAAAAGGCGCTCTCGAATAGCAGTGCGGGCAGAAAGACGTAGAGCACCAGCTCTGGATCAATGTTGGCCCCTGGTAGCACGCAGGTATGCAGAATTGCGCCGCAAGGTATACAGCACAAGTTTGGTTAACTGGGGAACCAGTAACGACATAAGGGAGTGGGAGGTTTTGCAATATAACGTCAGGGAGATGTCAAACAGTAAGAAATCGAGGCGATTTCGTAAAAAGACGTGCGAATGCGATGGTCAGGGTTCACGAAGCGTACACATCCGAATGCTCTCTCCCAGCAGTCCCAGGTTCACATAATACTCTGCAAAACCACCAACACGAGCAGAAGCACAGGTCAATGAACGATGATGATCCTATTCACTCTTTAAATGATGATAAAACGATTACATTATACTTTAGATGATGGCTTGTCAGCGTGATCCTATGGAATGACCCCTTGGCCTACCTAGCGCGCCGAGCCCGACGCCGACGAGCAGCAGCGCGACGGTGTACGGGATGCGCGTGTTGCTCAGCACCTGCCGGCACAGCGCGCCGAGCGCCAGCGACACGCCGATGAACACGAGCGCTACCTCGGGTCCCGAGGTATGCGCCGGCTCCTGCGGCTGGGTGTCGCTGCTGGTCGTCATGGTCGCTTCGCACGCTACCGATGAGCTCACACAGTCACGTCTGAATCTACGCTACCGCGAGTCGTGCGGTGTGGCCCAGTGGGCATGAGTTTCTCGCTAAGTCGGAACTCATTTCTGGTGTGACGTTGCTACGAATGCTCGCCTCTAGTATTCCTGTCCCGTTCTCCGTCGATGGGAATCGTCATGCGGGATTATCGGAAACAGATGCGATGCGAACTGATGACGCTCGACTAAATAAGAGTGCAATTTTGGGACTGTTGTCCTGATGCTGATCAATGTCGCTACCGCTCGTTATGCTCTGGCGCTCGTCACAGCACGAGGCTGTCGTCCGTCGTGAGAACGCTCCGTCTGTCTGACCTGACCGTCGTCTGTGTGAGCGCGTGAAGCCCCTGATGAAACGAGAGCCATGAAATAGAGTTCCCGGTGATATGAAGCAGAATGGATTCAAGCGGTGATTTGCACTGAAGGCCACGCCATCAAACTCCCTCCCTCCCTCGGTCTTGCCCGCAGCTGTGCCTCCCCTGCTCGCCTCGCACAAAAGATTCTGAACAAGATGCTTCCAAGGCCACAGCTCCCTGAAATATCACGCGCGATATCGCGTACACTGTACTGCTACTTCTCCCAATCAGGGATGTACGGTATTAGCTGCTTCCTAGAATTTTAACCCATTTCTACTTACCCCCTCAAAATGCTCTTCACCACCCAGCCCTACCACCAAACCTCATTGAGGGGAAAAACTAGTGGCTTGTACTGCCTTATTCCACCATTTGGATTACTGTAAGAGGTTCGTGGTGGTATCAGTTCTCAATCGGCTAGCGAGCGAGTGCATGAGACTGGGTTGCTAGGTTCATGGGTGCTTCCCAGGTTGGACATTTGGGTTGGTTAGTTCCCGCTCATCCCTGTAAAAGACCCAGCAAGGTGACAGACATTTTGAATGCTTTTACGGCACTCCCAAGGAGCTGCAGCACGTACACATTACGTACACGCAGGGATGACCCATGGCACGCCTACACTGCATTTGCATCACATCGCAGGACACTCCAAACGCACCAACCATCCTACGTGCTCGTACTCGTATCTGCGCCCTCCCTCTCGCCCTGCTCTTTGCCCTCCTGTGCCTCACCAGTGCTGGGCCACAGGTCCCCCCACCGCACCTTGCGTGCAAATCGGTACTCCACGCGCCCCGCAGCCTTGGAGAAGAGCAGCCGCTGCAGCTCGCCGCGCCGCCCCCTGCCGTCCATTGATGCACACACGTCCACTATCACGTGCTGCCCCCGCCGCCTCGGCTCGCGAATCACGCGGCTCCACTCGGGACTCAGATTCGCAAAGCGGTCGCCACGTGGCGGGTTGTCAGTGGCTAATGTGGGATCCACGGAATCATCATCCAGGTCAGCATCATCGTTATCACCGTCATCCTCATCACTGCTGTCAGTGACAGTCCCGTCCATGTCAGTTTCACCATCCCTCCTGCCTTCGATGACCCCTTCCTCTTCGTCTGGTGCACCGACAGGAGTGTGCTTCGGTCGAACGTCCGCCTCCTCTTCTTCCTCTTCATCCTCATCTTCCTCCTCTTCCTCTTCCTCCTCCTCTGCCTGCTCTCCTTCCTCACCTGCACCCTCTGCCCCTTGCCTCTCCCCTTGCAGCAGTGCGCCCGCCTCTGCCCCCACTGGCCCCTCGTCCAGGGGGATGAGCCGCACTGTCGGTCCCCACTTGGCTGGTGGTGGAGGCAGCGCAGGGGCACACCGAACAGGAGTGGCGGAGAGGGGAGTGAAGGACAGAATGGGAATGGCAAGCAGCAGGCATGTGCGGGTTGCCATGGTGGATGTGTGCTGAGGCATGGGCCTCATGGATGGGGCATGGGCCTCATGGATGGGGCATGGGCCTCATGGATGGGGCATGGGCCTCATGGATGGGGCATGGGCCTCATGGATGGGGCATGGGCCTCATGGATGGGGCATGGGCCTCATGGATGGGGCATGGGCCTCATGGATGGGGCATGGGCCTCATGGATGGGGCATGGGCCTCATGGATGGGGCATGGGCCTCATGGATGGGGCATGGGCCTCATGGATGGGGCATGGGCCTCATGGATGGGGCATGGGCCTCATGGATGGGGCATGGGCCTCATGGATGGGGCATGGGCCTCATGGATGGGGCATGGGCCTCATGGATGGGGCATGGGCCTCATGGATGGGGCATGGGCCTCATGGATGGGGCATGGGCCTCATGGATGGGGCATGGGCCTCATGGATGGGGCATGGGCCTCATGGATGGGGCATGGGCCTCATGGATGGGGCATGGGCCTCATGGATGGGGCATGGGCCTCATGGATGGGGCATGGGCCTCATGGATGGGGCATGGGCCTCATGGATGGGGCATGGGCCTCATGGATGGGGCATGGGCCTCATGGATGGGGCATGGGCCTTGCTGTCCACATGGGCACCACAGACCCTGACACTTGCACCGCGAGGGCATACAGCTGCCTCAAGTGTTTAACAGCTCAGCGACTCAACCCGTCCCCTCCTCACCTTGCTTCTTGGCCAGGCGCTTGGCCTCCTTCTCCGCCTCCTCCCTCGCCTGCCTCTCCTTCTCCTCCCTCCGGAACTGGGTTATCTGCTGCAATGGCGCCACCACCCTGCCAGTCACAACCAGGGGAACAGGGGAGGATGGGACGTGAGGCAAGACATGCGAATGACACCCCTGGAGCCAGTGCCAAATCGAACAAGCTTAGCATCACCTGTTTCCTTAGTAACTTACCCAGGTCACAGTGCCTCGCCCCACCCACTCACTCGGGCCTTGCCTCGCCCCACCCACTCACTCGGGTCGAGGTCCCCTGCGCAGCACCACATACGAGAACTTCTCGTCCTCCGTGCTGCCCGTTATCTCCTGCCCCGCTGCCCTCTGCCGCGGGTGAAGGGGCGAGAGGGGTGGTGAGGCGAGGGAGAGCGAAAGGCATGATAGTGAAGGGCGTGCCCACATGAGGCAAGGATTGACGGAGAATGTGCAGGGCGGGAGACAAGTGAGGGGTGAAGTGGCACGGCCAAGTGGACAAATGTGCACCCTTTATATTCGTACAGGGAGCACGACGAGGAGCAGCAGAAGAGCAGCGCACATGGCAGCACGGCCGCTACCACGGCCGCTACCACGGCCGCTACCACGGCCGCTACCATACCTTGGCAATGCGCTGCACGGCTGAGCGCTGCAGCGTCTGCGAGAAGTGGCACCAGCTGGTCGTGCCGTACATGGGGCAGTGGCCGTCGTGTGCACACTGGGGGGAAGGGCGGGGGTGGGGAGGGCGGAGGAGTGAGATGTGGCAAGCAAGCAGAAGCATGCATATCAGACACAGGCTGCAGAGGCCATGTGGTGGAAGCGAGAGAGCAGCAGAGGACGTGAGACGGATGCTTTCAAGAGCGGGGAGCAAGGGGTGAGGGGGGAAGAGGCGGCACTGACAGGGGCGAGCACGTGAGCACCGGGCGGCAGAAGGGGTTTGGAGGAGTGCGGGGCGTTCTTGCTGGGTCCCCTATCGGCCAGTCGCGCTGCCTTCTGGTTCATGTGGGAGGGGCGAGGGGGCATGGGGTGAGCAGGACGAGTGGAGGCAAGGCAAGGGAGGGGCTGGAGAGTGCAGAGAGGGCACAGGAGGACGGAGAGCAGAAGCACACGGATGCACAAAAGGATCAGCTGGGCATGAAAGGCAAGATTGGATCGGGGAAGGGAAGAGGGTCCATGGAGTCCCTGGGGGTCCCTGGGAATCTCCGGGGGTCTCTGGGGGTCCGTGGGGGGTCGCTGCACCGCCCGCTCATACGCTGCACCGCCCGCTCATACGCTGCACCGCCCGCTCATACGCTGCACCGCCCGCTCATACGCTGCACCGCCCGCTCATACGCTGCACCGCACGCTCATACGCTGCACCGCACGCTCATACGCTGCACCTCCCGCTCATACGCTGCACCGCACGCTCATACACTGCACCGCACGCTCATACGCTGCACCGCCCGCTCATACGCTGCACTGCACGCTCATACGCTGCACCGCACGCTCATACGCCGCACCGCCCGCTCATACGCTGCACCGCACGCTCATACGCTGCACCGCCCGCTCATACGCTGCACCGCACGCTCATACGCTGCACCGCACTCTCATACGCTGCACCGCACGCTCATACGCTGCAGCGCACGCTCATACGCTGCACCGCACGCTCATACGCTGCACCGCCCGCTCATACGCTGCACCGCACGCTCATACGCTGCACCGCACGCTCATACGCTGCACCGCCCGCTCATACGCTGCACCGCACGCTCATACGCTGCACCGCCCGCTCATACGCTGCACCGCACGCTCATACGCTGCACCGCCCGCTCATACTCTGCACCGCCCGCTCATACGCTGCACCGCCCGCTCATACCCTGCACCGCACGTTCATACGCTGCACCGCACGCTCATACGCTGCACCGCACGCTCATACGCTGCACCGCACGCTCATACGCTGCACCGCCCGCTCATACGCTGCACCGCACGCTCATACGCTGCACCGCCCGCTCATCCGCTGCACCGAACGCTCATACGCTGCACCGCACGCTCATACGCTGCACCGCCCGCTCATACGCTGCACCGCACGCTCATACGCTGCACCGCCCGCTCATCCGCTGCACTGCACGCTCATACGCTGCACCGCGTGCTCATACGCTGCACCGCACGCTCATACGCTGCACCGCACGCTCATACGCTGCACCGCCCGCTCATACGCTGCACCGCCCGCTCATACGCTGCACCGCACGCTCATACGCTGCACCGCACGCTCATACGCTGCACCGCACGCTCATACGCTGCACCGCACGCTCATACGCTGCACCGCACGCTCATACGCTGCACCGCCCGCCCGCCCGCTCATACACTGCACCGCCCGCTCATACCCTGCACCGCACGCTCATACGCTGCACCGCCCGCTCATACGCTGCACCGCACGCTCATACGCTACGCTGCACCGCCCGCTCATACGCTGCACCGCCCGCTCATACGTTGCACCGCCCGCTCATACGCTGCACCGCCCGCTCATACGCTGCACTGCCCGCTCATACGCTGCACCGCACGCTCATACGCTGCACCGCCCGCTCATACGCTGCACCGCCCGCTCATACGCTGCACCGCCCGCTCATACGCTGCACCGCACGCTCATACGCTGCACCGCCCGCTCATACGCTGCATCGCCCGCTCATACGCTGCACCGCCCGCTCATACGCTGCACCGCCCGCTCATACGCTGCACCGCACGCTCATACGCTGCACCGCACGCTCATACGCTGCACCACCCGCTCATACGCTGCACCGCACGCTCATACGCTGCACCGCCCGCTCATCCGCTGCACCGCACGCTCAAACGCTGCACCGCACGCTCATACGCTGCACCGCCCGCTCATACGCTGCACCGCACGCTCATACGCTGCACCGCCCGCTCATCCGCTGCACTGCACGCTCATACGCTGCACCGCGTGCTCATACGCTGCACCGCACGCTCATACGCTGCACCGCACGCTCATACGCTGCACCGCCCGCTCATACGCTGCACCGCCCGCTCATACGCTGCACCGCACGCTCATACGCTGCACCGCACGCTCATACGCTGCACCGCACGCTCATACGCTGCACCGCCCGCCCGCCCGCTCATACACTGCACCGCCCGCTCATACCCTGCACCGCACGCTCATACGCTGCACCGCCCGCTCATACGCTGCACCGCACGCTCATACGCTACGCTGCACCGCCCGCTCATACGCTGCACCGCCCGCTCATACGTTGCACCGCCCGCTCATACGCTGCACCGCCCGCTCATACGCTGCACCGCCCGCTCATACGCTGCACCGCACGCTCATACGCTGCACCGCCCGCTCATACGCTGCACCGCCCGCTCATACGCTGCACCGCCCGCTCATACGCTGCACCGCACGCTCATACGCTGCACCGCCCGCTCATACGCTGCATTGCCCGCTCATACGCTGCACCGCCCGCTCATACGCTGCACCGCCCGCTCATACGCTGCACCGCACGCTCATACGCTGCACCGCACGCTCATACGCTGCACCGCCCGCTCATCCGCTGCACCGCACGCTCATACGCTGCACAGCGTGCTCATACGCTGCACCGCACGCTCATACGCTGCACCGCACGCACATATGCTGCACCGCCCGCTCATAAGCTGCACCGCACGCTCAAACGCTGCACCGCACGCTCATACGCTGCACCGCCCGCTCATACGCTGCACCGCACGCTCATACGCTGCACCGCCCGCTCATCCGCTGCACTGCACGCTCATACGCTGCACCGCGTGCTCATACGCTGCACCGCACGCTCATACGCTGCACCGCACGCTCATACGCTGCACCGCCCGCTCATACGCTGCACCGCCCGCTCATACGCTGCACCGCACGCTCATACGCTGCACCGCACGCTCATACGCTGCACCGCACGCTCATACGCTGCACCGCCCGCCCGCCCGCTCATACACTGCACCGCCCGCTCATACCCTGCACCGCACGCTCATACGCTGCACCGCCCGCTCATACGCTGCACCGCACGCTCATACGCTACGCTGCACCGCCCGCTCATACGCTGCACCGCCCGCTCATACGTTGCACCGCCCGCTCATACGCTGCACCGCCCGCTCATACGCTGCACTGCCCGCTCATACGCTGCACCGCACGCTCATACGCTGCACCGCCCGCTCATACGCTGCACCGCCCGCTCATACGCTGCACCGCCCGCTCATACGCTGCACCGCACGCTCATACGCTGCACCGCCCGCTCATACGCTGCATCGCCCGCTCATACGCTGCACCGCCCGCTCATACGCTGCACCGCCCGCTCATACGCTGCACCGCACGCTCATACGCTGCACCGCACGCTCATACGCTGCACCACCCGCTCATACGCTGCACCGCACGCTCATACGCTGCACCGCCCGCTCATCCGCTGCACCGCACGCTCAAACGCTGCACCGCACGCTCATACGCTGCACCGCCCGCTCATACGCTGCACCGCACGCTCATACGCTGCACCGCCCGCTCATCCGCTGCACTGCACGCTCATACGCTGCACCGCGTGCTCATACGCTGCACCGCACGCTCATACGCTGCACCGCACGCTCATACGCTGCACCGCCCGCTCATACGCTGCACCGCCCGCTCATACGCTGCACCGCACGCTCATACGCTGCACCGCACGCTCATACGCTGCACCGCACGCTCATACGCTGCACCGCCCGCCCGCCCGCTCATACACTGCACCGCCCGCTCATACCCTGCACCGCACGCTCATACGCTGCACCGCCCGCTCATACGCTGCACCGCACGCTCATACGCTACGCTGCACCGCCCGCTCATACGCTGCACCGCCCGCTCATACGTTGCACCGCCCGCTCATACGCTGCACCGCCCGCTCATACGCTGCACCGCCCGCTCATACGCTGCACCGCACGCTCATACGCTGCACCGCCCGCTCATACGCTGCACCGCCCGCTCATACGCTGCACCGCCCGCTCATACGCTGCACCGCACGCTCATACGCTGCACCGCCCGCTCATACGCTGCATTGCCCGCTCATACGCTGCACCGCCCGCTCATACGCTGCACCGCCCGCTCATACGCTGCACCGCACGCTCATACGCTGCACCGCACGCTCATACGCTGCACCGCCCGCTCATCCGCTGCACCGCACGCTCATACGCTGCACAGCGTGCTCATACGCTGCACCGCACGCTCATACGCTGCACCGCACGCACATATGCTGCACCGCCCGCTCATAAGCTGCACCGCACGCTCAAACGCTGCACCGCACGCTCATACGCTGCACCGCCCGCTCATACGCTGCACCGCACGCTCATACGCTGCACCGCCCGCTCATCCGCTGCACTGCACGCTCATACGCTGCACCGCGTGCTCATACGCTGCACCGCACGCTCATACGCTGCACCGCACGCTCATACGCTGCACCGCCCGCTCATACGCTGCACCGCCCGCTCATACGCTGCACCGCACGCTCATACGCTGCACCGCACGCTCATACGCTGCACCGCACGCTCATACGCTGCACCGCCCGCCCGCCCGCTCATACACTGCACCGCCCGCTCATACCCTGCACCGCACGCTCATACGCTGCACCGCCCGCTCATACGCTGCACCGCACGCTCATACGCTACGCTGCACCGCCCGCTCATACGCTGCACCGCCCGCTCATACGTTGCACCGCCCGCTCATACGCTGCACCGCCCGCTCATACGCTGCACCGCCCGCTCATACGCTGCACCGCACGCTCATACGCTGCACCGCCCGCTCATACGCTGCACCGCCCGCTCATACGCTGCACCGCCCGCTCATACGCTGCACCGCACGCTCATACGCTGCACCGCCCGCTCATACGCTGCATTGCCCGCTCATACGCTGCACCGCCCGCTCATACGCTGCACCGCCCGCTCATACGCTGCACCGCACGCTCATACGCTGCACCGCACGCTCATACGCTGCACCGCCCGCTCATCCGCTGCACCGCACG